GCCATGCAACACTGCACCCATATGAAATTTGTATCATTTTTTTCACACAAATAGAGCTTTCTTTTGGTGGTATGTTCTGGCTGCTGGGTGTTTTATATTTTTCTCTGCAAACAAAAGAAAACAAACATTTGGAAAAAAAAGTTTTTCTTTGTTCCTATTATAAAATTTTGCAAACAGGTAATTTTTCTCCTTCACTGATGTGCATTGATGAGGCTGCACTGAAAGGCAGCACTGCTGGGCACTGATGGGCACAGGTGCGTGGCACTGCTGGGCACAGATGGGCAGAACTGGTGGATGGCACTGCTGGGCCCTGATCATCAGGGCACTAATCATCAGTGCTCTGATAATCGGTTTCAATCCGTCCTCTGACAATTGCTGTGACAGCGTGAGGAAAGTGCAGCCGATAACCGGCAACTGCATTTACCAGTGATCTACTGTGTCATTGGACACGGCTGATCACATGGTGAAGGGCTGCTGTGATTGGCCTTTTACCACTTTACGTGATCAGCTGTGTCTGTAGGACACAGCGATCATGGAAATCGCCAGGGGCGCATGGGAGGGTGCGTTCTGGGAGGACATCATATGACGCCCTCCCAGAACTGCCTCTGTGAAGCCATCATTTGGCTATCTATGGTCGGCAAGTGGTTAAACTTTATCACACTGGCCTAGTTGTATTGGAAATTGTGGTGGATTTACTAAAACTGGAGCACTCAGAATTTGGTGAAGCTGTGCATGGTAGCCAATCAGCTCATAACTTCAGCTTTTTAAATTAAGCATTGATAATAAACCCTGGAATCTGATTGGTTTCTACAGAGCTGCACCAAATTTTGCATGCTCCAGTTTTAGTATACCTCCCCCTGTGTGTCTGCAGAAAAACTAGAATATGATATTGTCTACATGAGTCCATTCATCTGTCTGCAAATGAACTGAAATAAATATTATAGCTAACAAATTAAATATAATTTTAATATAAGCTGCACAACCTAGGGCACTGATGGTTTTATTTAAAAAATAAAATTTCTTAAAATTGCCAGAAGGGAGAATCAGTCCAGTTCATGAAGTGAAACTTTGTTCTAAATTTAAATGACGATATTGTACCACTTGAGGGTCAGAGTTATAGATAGAGAAAGTCAAGCTTTTTAGAAAGACAAGATCATGAGCGAAAGAATAAAGGCGCAGTAATGTCACAAAGGCCGTTATAGTAAGTAACACATCATGATTCAAATTGGAAGAATAAGACACAAGAAGTAAACAAAAACAGAAATGTATATATTTGGTTATAAAGGAATTGTTCATGCGTTTAATACCTGTTTCATAATTCAAAAAATGTTTATTTAATATTTTGCCTACAAGCAACAATTTTTATTTTGCAAGATTTTTCTGAAATACTTTGTGACTTAACTAGAGCATATAAACTGTAAGAACATTGGCAGGAAAAAGATACTTGAATGCATTCTGCTTCATTGCCTTGATAATATACAATACATTCCTGATTTATTAACATCACAAATTCACTCAACAGGCTGTTGGATGGTCCTCCAGGAAAATCTAACTCATATTTGCAGAAAGAGAGCATATTGCAATGTGAGTATGTGATATGCACATGCATCCTGGATCCACACTGGGCGCATGTGCAGTTACTAAAGCCCCACTTGCTGTGCGTTCAGTCCCTGTAGGCCTCTTTTCTCCAGCACTCTTAATGGCAGATATATTCTGATGTCATCACCTACAATGCTGGAGTCCTACATTGTATGTGAATGCAGCAAGGGTTTTCCCACAACCTGGACCAAACAATAAGGTAAGTAGCTAATTCCTCTACCCCGAGACTTACCAAACATTTAACCCTTGCAGTGTGTTGAGTGGGTAGGGCAGGGGGGCACTGTAAGGGTATTTTTTAATGCCAAATTAAAGCACTGAAAATAGGTAGTGTAGTGATCATCAAGTTCACCTCACACACAAAAGGTCTCCAACTCTGAAGCCAGGCAAAAAAGTGTGTTTTTTTTCAATGCTGCTTTCTACATCCCTTTTCTTTAAGATTACTTTAGCTCAGACTTTTAGTGTGGATGCCAAGGGAAAGCACCAATAATAATAATGTTGTGGTCTACACATTTGCCACAAACGTGAAAGGTCCCCACTTTGAAACCAACCAGAAACATGTTTTTGTATTTGGCCAGAATCAAAGCTCTTGAGATGCCTTTCTCCTCTGACAGCCATAAGTGAAATCTTCAAATATCAGGCAGAGTTTAGGTGCAATGCCCACAATGTGAGCTCTATTTCTCCTGATTAGTAAGTCGATCAGAAGGAACCAAAGACCATTGCTTGAAGCTTTTAGGTGACCTGGTTTTCTGGTCCCGCAGGGTGAAAGTGGACTTGAGAAGAGCAGATTAAGCGGGGGATATGATCAACATGTATAAATACATCAGTTGTTCATATAGTGAACTCGGTGTAGAGCTATTCACCCTGAGGTCATCACAGAGGACAAGGGGGCACTCTTTATGTCTGGAGGAAAAGAAATTTAATCTCCAAACATGGAAAGGTTTTTTCACAGTGAGAGCTGTGAAAATGTGGAATAGACTCCCTCAAGAGTTGGTTCTGGCCAGCTCAGTGAATTGCTTTAAAAAAGGCCTGGATTCTTTCTTGGATACACAGAATATAACTGGATACTAACATTTCTAGGAAAGTTGATCCACGGAATATCCGATTGCCTCTCGGGGGATCAGGAAGGAATTTTTTTCCCCTGCAGGAGCAAATTGGATCATGCTTTGCCGGGGTTTTTTTTGCCTTCCTCTGGATCAACTGTGGGTATAGGATTATACATTTTTTTTTTGGTTGAACTCGATGGACCTTTGTCTTTTTTCAGCCACACTAACTATGTAACCTCCTGGTTAGTGAGTTGACCTGGAAAACTGAAGGACGCATGCTGCATTTGATGATACTGGAAATTTTTTTTTTTTGCTTCTGTACCACAGAGGACAAAGTGCATGCATTGTAAATGCTAATACATGGAAAGGGAGGAGTGTCACAATGAGGCTTTAACTAAAACTAAGGCAATCCATAGATGACTCTTAAACCATGGGTGGAAGGAAAGAAAATTGCAAGGTTCCCTCATCAACAGAGTGAGTATTGATGGGGGAATCACTCCTGCAGTGCTATTGTGTTCTGTTGGCAGGGTGGCGCGGACAGCCTTTCTGACCTGCAGAACACATCTAGCAGCTACAGCAGCGGGCAGTAATCGTATGTAAAAAATCCAATAGGCTGGTCGTACCCAGGTCAATCAAATTTTCCACTTAACTTGGTAAACTGATGGGACTGCTGGGCTGACTCATCTATCACTCGGTGGCTATGATACCACAGTTTTCAGCATAGAAACTTACTTTAAAAATGTTTTAATGAAATCCACCCAGAATCGCTATGCTTTTCATTTAAGGGACTGGAATTCAGTAACTGACCTACATGATGACTCTTGAAAGAAAAATCCCATTGGCTGTATTCCCTACAATATACAATTAATTTCAGGGTGACATTAAAATAATTAGGCTTTCTTTATGAAGCCAGAAGACATGTATGTCATAGAAGTCATTTCTATAAAGGTTCTCAAAATAATCTCATTAAAAGAGTATTCTAATATATGTATATAAACAATAAATGTTCCTTTTTTAAAACTTGGGGTTAAAGATCATCTTTCAATTAGGACTATATATGTTTTACAGCTTTGTCTGAGAATTCTTTAGCAGCAGAGTTTAAGAAAATTACAGATTTTTATACACCTTACTTAAAATCCCATATACTAATATGTACTACTAATACAGTATATTATTTTTATGCAGCGTCTATGCAACAATCTACTAAAGTGATGGGGGTTTAAATAAAAGTCTCTAAACTGGTGATTTGCCACTACTTGGCAAAGACAGAAGAATTTGAAAATAATTGTTCATTTTCCCTTTGCCACTCTTGTGACAAATTCATTTTACAACATAAGTGAACACACAAAACAAAAACTAAAGTTCAAATTGTATTTATAATAGGATTATACTTATACTCCAGAAATTCTTTTAAAGTTTTTATATACTATTTTGAGGTATGTAATTTTACAAGTGTTTGTTTTGAGAACTTTGGCATAAAATAGTTTGTTTTCAAAAATGGACAATAGCCATTAGGTTTAACACATTTTTTTTTAATTAATCTTAGAAGCAAGAGACAAATATAGGGTCAGTTTCATGTCTCTTCAAAGCTCCATTATTCTCATGACCTCTGAGCAGATTCAGGTGGGCTAAGGGGCTACCAGAGGGGCCCCTCCATTGGAATGTACTGGGTGGGGGCTGAGGTTAGTCGTTCTGTATTATTCTAGCTTACAGGTTGCCTTTTCCTATCTGAGAGATGCAAGCTGCCCTTATTTTCTGTTGATTCAAGATGCATTCTGTTTATGTATATTTTTATATTTACATATTACATGCATAGTGTTATGCTTTTCCACACCTTCTGTATGTTTGGAAACCATAAGTAAAGAATTTTAAAAAAGGACCTCTGAGCAGGAGTTTTCATCAAAACAGATTACTGTAGATTATTGATTATTGTCTACTCTTTTTTCTTTATTTAGAGTTTTTTTGAGGAGTTTTGGTAGTTTACTTTATTATTCATATGTGTTTTCTATCTTTGTGTTTTTGATTACTTGTATAATCTTTCCATTTATTTCACTAGTTAGTTCACTGTCTGTTTTTCTCTTTCTGTATAAAAATATAAACTAATGATGATATTAAAAAGGAGCTTTTTTTTTGGAAAAAAAATACAGGTCCAAAATAGTTGCAAAGAGTTTCTATAATTTAAAACTATTCCCCCCTTAAAAACATCTTGAATTTACCTCCTTGTTGACTTCAATGCATTTAACTAAAATGTCAAAGTTTCGTACAAATATCTCAACTTTTGTATGTCAGAAAAATATAAGGCAAATACCAAATTTTTCACTCCATAAGACGCACCTGACCATAAGACGCACCTAGGTTTTAGAGGAGGAAAACAAGAAAAAAAATATTCTGAACTAATGGACTACAGACATAGTACAGGAAATAACCAGAGACTGCGGATGTACTACAGGAGATGACAAGAGACTGCAGACATAGTACAGGAAATGACCAGAGACTGCAGACATAGTACAGGAAATGACCAGAGACTGCGGATGTACTAGGAGATGACCAGAGACTGCGGATGTACTAGGAGATGACCAGAGACTGCAGACATAGTACAGGAGATGACCAGAGACTGCAGACATAGTACAGGAGATGACCAGAGATTGCAGACATAGTAAAGGAGATGACCAGAGATTGCAGACATAGTACAGGAGATGACCAGAAACTGCAGACATAGTACAGGAGATGACCAGAGATTGCGGACATAGTACAGGAGATGACCAGAGACTGCAGAAATAGTACAGGAGATGACCAGAGCATGCGGATGTACTTGGAGATGACCAGAGACTGCAGACATAGTACAGGAGATGACCAGAGACTGCAGACACAGTACAGGAAGTGACCGGAGACTGTGGATGTACTAAAGGAGATGACCAGAGACTGTAGACATAGTACAGGAGATGACCAGAGTCTGCAGACCTTTGGGGAGCGGGAGGAAGTTTTTCTCCCCCTCCGTCTCTCCCTGTAGTCTTCTGGGACACATGACAGGTCCCAGAAGACTACAGGGCCATTCACAAAATGCAGCACTATTCGTGCATGCGCAGTTGGCTCCCAGCTGTGAAGCCACAAGCTGTCACAGCCGGGTGCCCACACTAAAGATGCCGGGGCCAGGGAGAGAAGACGGCCAGTGAAACCAGCGGTGGTGAGGACACCGCTGGACCGAGGGACAGGTAAGTGGCTGAAGTTTAAAAGTCAGCAGCTACAGTTTTTGTAGCTGCTGATTTTTTTTTTTCAGCTGGAACTTCAATTTAAGGGGCAGCTGCTTTGGGCTTTGCCTGGCACTGCTGCACTGCTGACTTGGACTCCTCCACTCTTCTGCCACAGAAGAGCCCAGCGGCTCTTCTGGTGGGGAGTGTGGGGGGGTGGGGGGGGGAGTCCTGGTCAATATTCGCTCCATAAGATGCACAAACATTTCCCCCCATTTTTTGGAGGAAAAAGGTGCATCTTATGGAGCAAAAAATACAGTACTCTGTCTGCCCCTTTATAATAATAAAAACAGCCCTGGAAGCTTGAGTAATTTAAATTAAAAAAATAGTAGCACAAGAGTTAAAGTGTTAATGAACCCAAAAACAAAAAAATAATATGTTGCAGCTCACCAACCCTTACAAATGGTGGTTGCAATAATTTTAAATTTATTAGTTTTTTTTTTTCCCCTGTATTTTCATCTGGTAATCTGACAAGTAACACACTTCCTGCCTTAGGGTGTCTCCACTCTAGATGAAGGAGCAATGAAAACAGCTTTGGACAGCAGTATTGTCAGTCAGGGGAGAGGGTCATGTTAAATGCACTAGCGGATTTAGATTTGACTAACAAATTCAAGCAGAACCAGCTAACACATTTCAAGCAGCTAAGGCAACATTTTTTTTCTTTTGGGATAAAGGTTTTAAACAGCTGACCATTTTAACCCCTCCTGTCAGTGATAAGTGGCTTGTCTAAACCCTCTAATTTCCTTTTTTTTTTTTTTGTGCTGGACAGCTTGGCCTGTTGAAAGAAGTTTACTTGGTTTGTTAAAACAAGGATCGCTAGATGAAAATAATGAAAAAAAACTTAGAAAGAAAACTAATGCAACCACCACATCTAAGAATTGGTAAACTGTAATATAATTAATTGTTGGGGGGTTTAATAATGCTTTAACTCACCTAACTTAATACACACTAGTAACAGTAAGAGACACAAATCTAACAAAAGTAAAGTTCTATATCCAGAAGACTGAACTCCTTAAAAGAACACAAGGCAAAGTATAGAGTTGTAGCTGCATCAAATCACAGGGGTACAAGCAGAGAACCTGTGGTCATTATTAAAAAGTTATTCATGTCTGTTGGAAAGATCCAAAGATTTCCCTGATATGGAGACTGTAGATCATTAATAAGTTATGTCCTTTTGTCCTGAATTTAAAATACCTCATGGATTTAGGGATATCTACTAAAGCTTTAAGAAATAACAGCACCTGATTTATTAAACAAGCATATACTATGTATAAATAAATAAAACAACAACATTGCAAAACATAGAACTTGATATTGATTGCAGACTCATCAAGGAACCTCTGGACCTGAAGTTTCATTATTTAAGATAACTTGGCAGATTGATTAGTGACTGTACATTTATTTAATAATACACCATACACTGAAAATGATGATTTCCATTTCCTTAGACCTATACTGTATAATCACTCTTTATGGCTTTACATTTAGTTTGCTTATTTACATTACTTATAGCCTAACTCCAGTCATTTTTGAGGAGTGGAGAATATCTAGAGCTGTAATTTCTCCGGGGAGATTTCCCATCTCTTTTTATCTCTCTGTGACACCAAGAGAAGACATTAGATTTGTGTCACTAACAGTACATTAAGAAATAAAAAGTATTTCCCCTGACAAGTATCCCTCTGACTCCCTAATGTTGGGACAGAAAGTATAAATTTCCCCAAGGGGATGCAGAGAGCATCAGGAACCTTTTCTAACCCTTAACCATTCTATCCAAAACTATAAAAAAAAAGCTTCAAAACTCTCTAGGTCTAAAGTGGGGTACACACAATGAGGAAATCAGAAGAAAAATTCCATACGAGGAACGATCGTTCAATTTTCGTATAGTGTGTGCACAACTTTTGACATCCGATTGACTTTTCAAATGAAAATTTCTGAATGGACGAACTCCAAACTTTTTCTCGTACATGAACAGAACTGATAATCTATACTGTTTTCGTATGAGAAAAATTGGATACGAAAGACTGCACATATTCAGAAACAATACAAAACAATAACCTACGCGACAAAGTTTCTACGTCAAACAAAAAAAAAAAAAATCTTTGTCGTTGGAGAATGTTCGTACAATTAGTACCACCCTTGTGTTTTACGATCATTCACCCAATTTTCTTATAGCTTGTACACAGCTTTATCGTGGCAGGAGAAACAAGATGTAGCTGAGACTTTATTGTGTACAAAGGCTGTGTGGCACCAGGAATGGCCACACATTGAGGTTCTCTAGAGCAGGGCTCAGAGTAAGTATTTTGATATATGGGTTACAATGAGAAGGAAAGGAGAAACCATTAAATCACAATTTCACTGAAAGTGAGGTTGATTTCTAAAAACAGTCCAAATTATACTGAAGACATTAAATGCTCAGTCTGTAGCAATATAAAAGAAAAAAAAACTAATGAAATTAAAACTGTAATTGCAACAGACTATCAATCAATCACTAAAGTATAAGTAAATGTAATTTAATGTTGCATTGCGCACCCCCTGCCTGGCTCAAATTTTACATTTCAATTTTTTTTACTTTCAATGTTTTAAAAGAAACTCAAAGCCCATAATAAATTATTGCTTGAAAGGGCATCCTAGTTAGAATTTAGATGTCAAGTGTTACAAAGTTTATGAACATAGTTTCTGAGCTCCAGAGGGTCTTGTGGCTTCCTACACACAGCTCCAGTGTTTACTTATTCCCATATCAGCAGGAAAGATCTTCAGATATGCTTAATCACAAATGTTTCAGACAATTACTTGACTCCCCATGTGTGCAAAGAAAAGTTCAGAGGATGCAGATTATCGAAGAGTGTTATGTAGTATATTAAATTATTACAGCAAATACGCCTGGTCATTTGCCAGAATATTAAGTAAATATAAAATAAGGCATATAAATATGAATAAAAGAAATGTTAAATATCAACATAAAAACTTAAATACTTAAAAACATTAAATAACATTGATCCAGAGCCACTTCATTACTTTAGGGACTGTAGTTCAGTTGGTGGGCTTGGAGACATCTGTCATTACATTCTTATTTGGTAGACATTGTTCCCCAATCCTTATGAATAAAACACAAAATTTGATTAGTGGCTCTGGGTGGGTGTTTCCTCATTCCATCATCACTAGAGAGTGACATTTTTCTAACATCTGATGTCTATTGCAATCATCACTGCTTTCCCTTAGCTGTCTAGATGATTTTGACATTATGGATTAAAATTCCACTATATTAGGCAAAGCTTGTAATGGTTGACTTTCTGTAGCTGAAATAAATTTGAATAGAAAAAGATAATGACCATTTGTATGTAGCTTAGATAATTTAAGGTTGTGTTCTTTGCACAATAAATGAAACTCATTTTCTTATAGCTCGTGCACAGCTTTATGGTGGAAGGAGAAACAAGATGTAGCTGAGACTTTATTGTGTACAAAGGCTATGTGGCACCATGAATGGCCACACACTGAGGTTCTCAGAGCTCGGAGTAAGTATTTTGCTATATGGGATACAATGAGAAGGAAAGGAGTAACCACTAATTCACATCATCATTAAAATGAGGTTGGCTTTTAAAAACAGTCCAAATTATATTGAAGGCATTAAATGCTCAGTCTGTAGCAATGTAAAAGAAAACAAACTAATGAAATTAAAACTGTAATTGCAACAGACTATCAATCAATCAATCATCAATCAATCACTAAAATATAAATAAATGTACTTTAATGTTGCATTGAGTACCCCCTGCCTGGCTCAAATTTTACATTTCAATTTTATTTTACTTTCAATGTTTTAAAGCAGTGGTTCTTAACCTGGGTTCGATCGAACCCCAGGGGTTCGGTGAGTCAGTCTCACGGGTTCGGCGGAGGTGAAGACCCACACCGACTCATATGATTCGTGCAGTAAATATTCATTATTATGTTTTTTGTTTTTGTTTGAAAATCATGTTTTAATGGTTTTGTTCTTTGTTCTTAACGGTTTTGTTCATTTTGCGCACCTATGTATAAATATATACCTAAATATATACCTATGTTTTGAATTTTAAAAATCATATTTTATTTTTCCAATTAAGAAGGGTTCGGTAAATGCGCATATGAAACTGGTGGGGTTCAGTACCTCCAACAAGGTTAAGAACCACTGTTTTAAAGGAAACTCAAAGCCCAACATAAATTATTGCTTGAAAGGGAATACTAGTTAGAATTTAGATCTCAAGTGTTACAAATTTTATGAACATAGTTTCTGAGCTCCAGAGGGTCTTGTGGCTTCCTACACACAGCTCCAGTGTTTACTTATTTCCATATCAGCAGTAATGATCTTCAGATATGTTTAATCACAACTGTTTAAGACAATTACTTGACTCCCCATGTGTGCAAAGAAAAGTTCAGAGGATTCAGATTATCTAAGAGTGTTGTGTAGTATATGAAGATGATTACAGCAAATATGCCTTGTCATTTGCCAGAATATTAAGTAAATATAAAATAAGGCATGTACATATGAA